TCGCACGACTTCAACGTCACGCCAACTTAAGATCGATATTCAAAAATACAGATTCAAAATTATACATGTTGAAGCGTTTGTTTTTTACACTTTGCAAGAGCACAGGTACTTGCTTTCAATCAGAACAGGGGCAAACAAACTTAGCGGGAGTGTTTACGTGTACGGCGTAATGACGTACAATGTCCTCGACAACTTCTGCAGTCCTATTCAGCCACTTTTTAACAACCATCGTTTGTCAGACACGTAAACTCTTCAAAAATCACTGGTGGGGTCACTGCTGATGTATTAATGTCGTAGAACAAAACTTGATCCGTCTCCTAAAATTTGTGTAAACCACGGACCTTATTTCCAGCTATTTTCCAAAATCCTATGGAGAAATCCCATTGGCTCTGAGACGAGGGAACCGGAAGGGGTAACATGCTAACTCACTCCCGGGTTCCCCCACTCGTCACTGCACCACTCTATATCCTGCTGTTAAAACTACATGTATTATGTTTTGATATTAGATCAACTCTTGTCAACTATTATCATATAATAATTAAAGTTATTTTCAATGGAAACATTGCAGAAAATGCTGTTTGCAGCCTCTCAAATATGGAGATTTTCATGTTGTTTTTTCGGTATTATATCATATAAAATGTAGTTTGGACTGACAAGACATTCAAAGACATCTTGCCCTTTGAGAACTGGGGATGAACATTGTTTACTAATAATTAACATTTGTAGATCGTTTGGTTAATCTGGGAAATAATAGGCAGATTAATAAAAAAAGAATCGTTACAGCTATAGTCAATATCAGTAAAAGCAGAGCACAGTGAAGCAGCAGATGTGTTCTTAATGACTATTGATCACAGGTTATTTTTAGGATGTTGACTGGATTTATGCCGTGTTGGCTTCAAGTGTTGATCTGCAGCATCATGTCGGTCAAATCCCTGTGGTGGCACTCCTTGTTGGCACTCAGAGGATGATGTCAGCAGCTTGTCTTTACAGTAAATCTGATCTGACAGGGACGCAACATGACCGTCCCACCGCGCCCTTTACGTCCCTCCTTCCAACCTCATCTCCATCCCCCTTTCACATTGTTTCTCTCTCACCCTGCTTTTTCCTTTTCTCACCTTCCCCCACTCTTTCCTCCCCTCCTAACCCTTCCAGTTGACCTCTTCCTCCTCCTCCTCCTCCTCCTCCTCCTCCTCCTCCTCCCCCCCCTCAGTTTGTCATCCGCCTCCCACGCGGCCCCCTGCTCGACTTCTACTCCAAACGCAGCTGAGGGGCCGTCTCGGACCCTGCGGGAATCCCACACAGGTGTGAGTGTGACTGGGGAGACGGCACCTAATCCATCTACCCATCAACCTCTCGCTTTCTCTTCTCCTCCTCTCCTTCCTACGCCTCCTCTGCGACATCACTGTAGCTTTCTTCATCTCTCATCCTCCAGCTGCCCAATTTTTTTCTTCTTCTGGCATCTGTGGGACAAGACTTTCATTCCCTTTGTTTTGAACCGCAGACCTGGTTGCTCCAGCCAGAAACAGACTTGCACTGGGAAAGCCAATCAAGCCATTTGTCTTTGGCATTTTCTGCTTTGTCTCTTTGACTTTAAATCACCAATTCATCAATTCTACCTGACAACTGACTGCTTTGAGCCTGCTTTTATACACAATTTGAGGTATATTTATATTGTCTGTTGTCTAAGGATATTGTCTAGGCTGATCACTGTGATGTGATTTTTGGATAAGTAAACTTTTTTTCCTAAATCCACGTTAACAAAGCACCAAAAACCGCACTGTTGTTACTGAGAATCTTTTCAGTATTATTGTCCCAGTATAGTATTTCCTGTGATGGGAGACCTCGAGGCAGCTTTATTGTGATACATATTAACCTCTTTGTCCTTCACCGGTATTTTATGGAGGCAGTATGTAGCAACTGCAAAAGATTCCTTGTTGCATGACATTTTGACAATCAACTCTGACCAAAGAATAAAAGGCATTCCATGTACAGCTCATATGAGTGTTTGTTCCTTGAAATGGTTCCTCACACTTTTCATGGATAAAAAATGTTTAGCAATACCGGTATTCAGTATCCATCTTATTTGGTGACATACTGCGTCATGTGGAAATCAGTTAGGAAAAGATGAAGGGATACACATGCTCTGCTATACAAACTAGTATTGTTATGCTGTGGAGTTCAAATGTTAATTATGTCATATACAATCTAATTCAACCCTTTTAAAAGCATCATGTTCCTACAGAGCTGTACAACCTCATAACATGGATACTGTTCTGTACATACTGTAAACATAATAGTGTTTTTTTTTTTAAACGCATGCGTTATAATTGAGATAAATATGACTTCATTTCAGTAGGAAGTACTTCTCCAACATACGATCACACAGATACTGTGTTGTGTCTTCTTTTAGAGCGTGTGCATTAGTCTCCTTTGCAATGGTTCAGAGACAAAGACGGCAAACGAGGAAACCAGCAGCAGTTTGGGCTTTTCAGGCATATCAAGTCCTACTGTGAGCCACATGAGTGAGCCTGATAGTGTCGAAGCCCGCGGCGTTCCAGTTGAGGAGGAGTCACCTGATAAGGAAGTGGTTGTAGTTTTTGAAACCTCCTTGGTGCCCATCATAGAGGGGGAGATGGCGCAGCTGCCTCTCTCCTTCGACCCCTGCTGTAAAGCTTTAGAAAGGATCCTGGAGGAGGAAGGATCATGTCCAGAAGTGTCGGAGGGCTCTGGAAAGATAGTTGGACGTTCCCCAGCTTCCTGTTTCAGGAGCGATGGTCCGCAGGTCGTACGCTGCTTCCAGGTAGCCTCCTGACCCCGTCTCCGGGCGACTCCGTCTTTACTTTGCCTTTCTATGATTTCAAGGGCACACTCGCTCACTCCTGTGCAGCACTATCATTAAACAAAGCATGTGAATCTGTAAAGAGCTGTGTGAAATGTTCTGATACAAGAGAAAATGGTTGCAGCAGAGGTGTTTCACATGGGTGTGATCATAGCTACGGTGAAGGGTTGCTATAACACTAGCACATTATTCTCTGGCATGTCTTGAACATTAACTTCATCTTTCCAACACACATGGCTTTTCACATCTCCCTGTTTCCTTTTCAAGTAGTTGGTGGTGGGAAGGGAAGTAACAAGGTGATTCTGTTGTTTCCAAAAATCTAATTTGGTGACAAAAAAAGGGCTGTTGAGGTGAAAATCACGCCACACTGCAAATGCTAAAAAGGGAATGCATGGTGTGAAGCACATTGCTGTGAGGTGTGTGGTTAAACAGCCACTCATGGGGCTATGCTCCCATCCACAGCCCCCTCTGGTGCAGACCCAGACAGTCACCATCACAGCTGTCTCCAACTCCTCCGCCCCTGGCATCTCCACCACAGAGGTCCCTCTCGTCCAGACCAAGAGCTTCATCTATGACTCATCAAAGGTAGGGGCTCCAGGACCTGCTCAGCCCAGATCTGTGTTGGCTTTAAGCCTTCCATGTTTAGAGGAGATATCAGCGGGTCTGGGGGGTCAGGCCAGGGGCTCCACAATAAGCATGAGGCATCACTGCACCTTCCCTGGCTGAGGCTCAGGTTCACCTTGCCTTAAAAACAGTTACTCAGTCAACCTGTCTTTTTTTTACCTCAGGAGACAGTTGGGACGGAAGAAGAAAAAGATAGCTCAACTATGACCACCTCTCAGACCGTTACCTCGGAGACCAGCAGCGGCACCACGGTCACCACCACTCACATCTCAAAGGTCAGCAACACAATCTCTCTCTCTGTTGGTTATCTCTCCCAGGCTTAAACCTGGTGTGTGTGTGTGTGTGTGTGTGTGTGTGTGTGTGTGTGTGTGTGTGTGTGTGTGTGTGTGTGTGTGTTCTGGCATACTACTGAACCCATCAGACTCATATTTTGTGTGCACCTAANAAATAAAAGTCTCATAATATCAATGTCAACAATGCGCGATACGGTCCCCAGAGGTGGAAAAATCCCCTATCCTCTCGGATGAAAGTTTTTTATTTTGTCACCAATCGTGAAAATTAGGAGAAAAAGAAAGAAAAAACGTCACATAATAATCCTGCTAAATCGTAATAAACTAATACTACCCGAATGGAATTGAACGCCCACACGACAAAACCCAGACACCAAGCACAAGATGATTTCTTTTACATAACGTACAATCGAATAAAATGGACGAAATAAACACTGGAGTGGAGGAGATCCAGGCCGGCAGGCCCCTACAAAAAATTTACATTCAACTTACTAGTTAGACACGTGAAACCGTGTTGTACTTAAATACCTATGTCGAACGAGTCGCTGTGAGTACTTTTCTTCCCTAACATATGAAAAGTTATTAGCGTTGCTAGCGCAAATCTCTCATCTGTGTGGTACTGTTTAGTAAATTTGATCATAAGAATAATACAATGGATATCAATAAGTAATACAGAAAAATAATACGTATAAAATGATTAGTGAGTAAACCGCAAGAAAGAATAGTTTGGATTCTAATACAAATAAAATTAACTGCTACGTTAAAATAAACTCTTTGACCAGATACGTTATGATGACACATTATATCTACAAATTAAATGATAATTCTTCATAGTATATTCTGTCGTTTGCAAGTAAACACCCGGTATAAGGTAATAATGAAAAACTCCCGGCTAAGTTTACCAGGCGTCCGGCGATCAAACTTGTGGGACGAAATGTCTTGTGGAGCGTCAGCTTGAGGTTGTAGACGATAGTCCCATATCCTATCCTACCGTGTAACCTCCTGGGTTGGTAGTTCACCCAATTTTACGTGTCACTTCTGTCGCGTCGATATTGCATCCCTACGACGCTAACTGAGCCATCTGGCTAGCCGCTATGAGTGAGCAGATCGGCTAGCCAGCCCGAGAGATTTGTAACGCTATCGTACTGCATTTATTACTGGAAAAGAGTCACGCGCGCCCGTTTGCTTCGAGCGGTTTTACCAAGGCGAGGCAGACCGATATAAATTCCACCGGCTTTCTGTCACTTAATGCCTAGTTGCACCACACTTCGTCTTTAGACGTCGAGGTGGGCGACACTGCCTGGCCACTCACCTCGCTTTGTGTGTCTTCTCGATCTGGATAGTGTCAATCGGGTAAAGTATTAGATGGAGACCTTTCGATTTGATCAATATTTGGATATACAATAAGAAATGACAGCCAGTGAAGTAATGACCTAGTCACTCCACGTACTCTATAGACTGTCCGACAGTCCTCTCCCCCCTCTCCTTTCTCGCGAAAGGCGAAAGGCACAATAATAGGTTTCACCTTACTTTCTAATTATTACATGGTAATCCGAGTGCATAACTTTTTACTGTAAGCGCTATATACGACAAAAGGGGACGCTAGTATATAAGCGCAAAAAACATAAATTGGCCTACTTCTAAAATCAGTCTCAGACCAGAGATTCGACCAACTAGTCAGTACTGGAATTCAGTACCTAGATTGTACAAGTACATATGTGTAATGAAGCAAATACCAATAACTGTATTGCATTGTTTTCTTATGCGCAATTACTTCATACTGTCTTCGTCTTTTTCGTCCTGCATTTATTGTGCCCCCCTCAGAAAATAACTGGCCCCAGCCTGGCCCCCCCCCAGTCAAATTGGTCTAGAACCGCCACTGGTGAGTGGCCCAGCCCTTCGTATATTTTTCTGTATGGCCCTTGATGATAAAAGTTTGGACACCCCTGATGTAAAGTGTCCTGCACGAATCTGCTGACACATTCGTGTGTTAAAAGCATGTGAACATATACATTGTTTTCCCCTCAGTGTAGCTCTGCATTTTCGATAACTTGTTCAGTTAGTGCTGATTTCAAACCGAGGCTGTAAAATGTAGATTGTATATTAATAATGCGGGGGACTAACCTCACAAAAGAACTCATTCCCTCTGAGTCCACAGAACCAGGAGATCCAGGACACCTCCTCTGAGCTGCTCATCCTCCTGACAAAACAACAATATTCATGTACATCTTCACTATGGATAACAGCTAAAACCGGCAGTTCATATCCTTGAGATGTGGACTTATAAACACAGATTTAACTTGTTTCAAACAAACTCAATCTGTCCTTTCTTGGACTTAGAACAAAAGTGTTATTTTATATTGCTAATGTTCAATATACCTTGGAGTTTGCCTATCTAACCTGCTGCTAACGTTAGCCTAATTGCTAGCATTCGTTAGCGTGAAAACACATCGTACAGATAGATATTGCTGACATTAATTGTAACTGCAAACTGTCTTTAAACATAGTTTCTCATGCATGTGTATATTTGTTTACAGGAAATCACTTTTACTTACCTTTCTCTATATTAGTTACCACATTAACCTGCAAGCTTAGCTAGTTTATCCTCGCTCCCCGGATGACATCCACGTCGTTTTCCGGTCAGCCGCATTTTTCAAAATAAAGTTATTCATGACATCTCAAATAAAGACCAGCCAGCACAGAAAAGGGAAATGCGATTGATGTTAACAAATTTTTGTCATTGTATTGACCATAACAAAATACAATTCTCGTTACATTTCATGTGAAAAACATGAACAAACTTCACTTTTCTTCACCTTCACTTTTTTATAAATTTAAAACAAAGTAAGGGTAACGTAGAATGTAGGATTTTTCAATCTGGGTGGGCATTGTCTATTTTAATATGATCAAATGTTTACTTTATCTTATGAAAGAAAGTTGTATTCCTTTATTTATTAAAGAAACATGTTGGTATTTTGACTAAGATGATAAGGGTATGTATATCCATTAATCAATATGTCATGTTTTGTATTTAAGCAGCTAAACCACATCATATAGATCCACAGGTTTATGGTACGATGGCATTTACAAGTAATTAGTTGGCTCAAATAAATCTGTTCTGTGGTCACAATCAGACAAGGCAGAATGCAGAAAAGTTTTGGTAGATTCTTTAGTTTTTTATTTAAATAAAAAAAAAAAAACATTTGCACATTTGAACAATATATTTGTATTTATGTTGACATACATTTTGAAGCATTTAGACCTAGGTTATGTTTTAATCTGGTAGATTTGAATACTTTATAAAAAAACATTTGCACATTTCAACAATTTGTTTGATGATGTCCTTTCTATTGACATGCATTTTGCAGCATTTAATCCTGGGTTATGCTTTAATATGAAAAAATAATCCTTTCTCGGGTGGAGAACTCCATTATGGCAGGTCTGCAAAGGTTTTGCGAGAAGGCGGTGCAACATCTTTCTTTTCCTGCTCCTTTCCCATGCCTTCAAACATCAAGATCCTTTAATGTAAAACACAACATGTCAGTTACTATAATGTACGACATTTCTATTCATGTTTTAACACAATAGAGATTACTCTTTGCATTAAAACAATGAACATCACATGACACAGATCAAGCAGATACTTTAAATGCTTTTCACACTGAATACATTGTTGCATTTGAATTTATATACTGTTATTAAAACTCACGTGGATTTTTAGCAGTTTTATCAGCTAGATCAAGGCTTGAGGATCATCATCAAAAATAGCTTCAATTATTTTTTTAATCATTTTGTACTTAATCTCCCTCCTTGTGACCAATTTTCTGAATGTTTTGACTTACAGTTTGAGAATTGCATTCTTTTTCCCAAGCATCATATTCAGGAAGTCGTTGTAGCTTATCGTTTCTTTAGATGTATCTCCAACCACCTCTGACATCATCTTTTTCAGCTCTAGGTGAGTCTTGGCCAATCCAAGTTTTTCCAGCATTTGTTTTAACCCCATTAAATCTATAAAGATCAAAGACAGCCAATACATTCAAAGTGCTTATATAGTATGAATATGTTAAGATGTTGTGAGTCATTACTGAGAGCAAGAGTTGCAAGCTGTAGCAAAAAATATTTGAGGGTTTTATGATCGGTGGCGTTTTACCTATTTCTCCTTGGTCGTTTAGATCAAACTCCATGTACTTCTCTGTGATAAAAGCAAATGTAATTGTATTCAAATTGTATATCTTTGCACTAAATGATAAGACAATTTACTGATAAGCGATTGGCAGCCTTTGAATACTCACTTTTAAACATTTCAAGCTTTGAGCTAAGGTCTTCCTCTTCAGCATGCTTGGGGTCTGACAGATAAGTCTAAGGGTGATAATAAAAAATAAAAACAATAAAACTGACATTAGTTTGATATTGCACATATGTCAGGCCCTTGTGGGTAGAAAAACTATACAAAATCCATGTATCGCTATTGAAATTGGCTGACTTTGTCTAAAAATATCAACACACCTCATTTATAGACAGCAGTCTTTCTTCCTGTTGAGACTTGAGAAGACCATAGGCTTTACCTCCTGTGAAACAACATAAAAGACAACATTTAGAAAAAGTCAACTGACAAACATATTTGGAAAAAAAAGACAAACTGACCTTGAGCATTGTGGTCCATTTCTGTGCACTGTGCTGAGAGGATGTGAACACTGGAAGTGTGAAAAGCTATGATGGCGTTTCTCTTTATCAAGCCACAAGAGGAAGTGAAGTTACAAAGTTTCAGTTTGCATTAGTGACATTCCTCTGTTGTATTTAAGGTGACAGTAAAACAAAGGTCAGTTGGGTCAGGTCAGAATGCCCATCATAACATTGATACACACTGAATTAAGTAAGAAAAAACCCTGTTGTATTGCAATAAGAGAAGTTTGCATGCAAGATACCTGATTTGTAATGGCAAGGACTATCTGACTTTAAAGACTCTAATGGTGTCTATGTGGAAGGGAAATGCCGCTCCACCAGTTACAAGAGTTAAGATTGTAATTGAGGAAGGACGATTGTGTTTAGGAACTGAGAGCAATGCACGTTAATCATTTTTAGACATGTGTTTATAAGGAGTGTTTGAATAAAATCAAGTCTGCCAGCCTCTGAGCCTCTTCACTGCAGCAGTTGGGGGCTGAATGACGTGCTCAAGGGCACCTCAGTGATGGGAGGAGCAAGCTTGTTCTTCTGTTTCACTTACACATTAAAATGCAAGCTTCATAAAATACTTGACAACACAGAATTTTACTTATTTAAGAGGCGACAAAGAACGTTAATTAATAAAAGCATTTTAGTAAGTTGATTATGCATGTGTGCCATATTTAGCCATAGAGGCTAATTTTCACTTGCCGTTCATGGCATTAAAAAAAGACAATTGCTCAATTATATCACATATTAAAGTACATATGCCCCATTAAAAGCACATTAATACAAACACATAAACACACAATAGACAGAAAAACACGTACATTAGCACAGATAAATCTAATCGGCACAGATCATTTGAAAAATAAGGATGAAGCCCATAGTCAAAAAGCTCTTGTGCTCTTATTTTCAATTTGTCAACTAGATGTAATGTCTTGTTTTTGCCACATGGTGTCTCTATTGGTCACATAATCAGGTAAAACAACAAGTAATGTTTGTCTCTGCTGGTAGCTTCATGTGATGACTTATGTGTGACTTAGAGAACTGAGAATAGGAGTGAAAGGTCTACCAGAGAATAAAACTTTGAAAAGCCATTCCGCTACATTACTCAGAAGATGGCACCGTTTTATCCACAGCCTCTCCTGTTATTATTGCTGTTAATATCAGAGTGCAGAGGTGAGTAAGTCCCTAGATATTTTATTTACCAAATTCAGAATGTCATTTATTTTGTATAGCCTGGATGTAAAATAGGTATACACCAATTGTGACTGTATTTAAAATTGAAGGGTAGCACATATCGTTTCCTTTTTAATAGCTGATGTAATAATATGTTTGACATCTTCCTTGTATTGTGAAATCTTGAATCATCTGCTTTACAGGTCTGACACTAAATGTTTTAGTGCGTGCTATATGAAAACCCTATATGTCGTGTTCTTAAATAATCCTATTTTTTATCTCTTGTTTTTGTAAAGGTGGCTCACCAGTGCTAGTGTCTACTTCTCTAGAAGAAGATGTAGTTCTCCCTTGTTCTGATCCATTAATGACGGATAAGGACACGTGGTTTAGAGTCAAATTGATTAAACATGCAACAAATTCCAGTCGGATTAAGGTGATCATTGCCAGGCCTGAAATATCCAAATTCAAGGATGCTCAACGTGTGAAATGGCAAGCTGATAAAAACGGACAAATGTCTATTACGCTGACAAAATCACAAAAATCTGATGAGGGACTGTACGGATGTGAAATCTGGAAAGGCTGGGATTCTATTCTTGTCAAAAACATATCTTTGAAAGTTAAAGGTAATCTCACACTTTATATCTTTCTTATTTTCGCTCTCTTAAAAATATCTCCCTCTAAAGTATGACACAAATCTCTCCTCTTTCAGACTGCAAAAATCTCAAGCCAGTAAAGGCAGCTCTCAGCACCTCCGTTACCCTGAACTGCCCTGTGGACATAACAGCAGGACAACAAGGACCCCCAAATATCTCCTGGTCAATGCTGAAAGGAGGCAACCCGGTACCTTTCAACTCTAAAAGTGCTGCAATAAATGGGAAATCAGTAACTATCCAGTCTATGAATGACAATGACAGCGGTTGGTACAGATGTAATTACACGCTTGATCAAACCCAGCGCTGCTTTGACATTAACCTACTGGTCCCAGGTAAGATTTTAAACTATTTGGTTTTATAACTGACAACAAATGACGGCATACATGGCTCCAATGTACCTTTTCTGTTTCTTTCAGAAGAGGAACAAGTTGTTGTGGACACAGCGGTTCCAGGTACTGCAACAAAACACTAATATTTTACATCTGAATTAAATTGCATGAATCATTTTGTGTTCAATCTGCTATTGTAACTAATGGATCCTCTACAGGACTGACAACCAGTGAGATTAATGTTGAAAGCGATAAGAATGGGATCAGTGAAGTATTTTTGACCGTTGTTGTGGCTTCAGTCATTGCTGTGATTGTCATAATGGCTGCCCTGATGGGATTGTTCATCTACTGCAGACGTAACTCCCAGACGGTTACACAGCAAACTCAGAGGCCTCCGGCAGGTTTGATCTATCTTTTATTTCAGTAATTTTCTTGAGCCTCCAGTTTGGTTAAGTGTAAATGGCTTTTTGTTCTCTTGTTGTCCAACAGGTTCTCCTATAGAGTATGGTGGTTATGAGATTGTGAACACCCTTTCAGAGAGTGAGCACCATCTTATATTCTAACTATTTTCTTATAGTAACTATGACCGCTTTTGGTTTGTTTTCCACTTCTCTGACAACTTTTTCACTGTATCACACAGACCGTACAAACGATCAATTCACCAGTCTATACCAACACTTCCCAGATGAAAGCCAGTGTACTTGTGAGTAACTCAAATTATAACTACTCTTTTAAAATCAAACTTTAACTCTCAGTATATCCAAATAGACAAATAATACGATTCTGTCCTTCATTGCAGTCTGGAATGAGTAGTTCTCCGTCTGCTCAAGACATAAAA